TCATTATATGCTCTCGATCTTCGGTACTCAATTATGTAAGCACTTCGATATACAGTTTAAAAGTAAAACTAAATTATATTATAAGTCTAACAGGGTGATTGTTAACAATATTAATATATATAATTGCATATTATCTTACTAAAAGTATTATAATCAACTTACAAGCACAATACAATATTTTTATAACTATTATAATCTATCAACTATTATTGTAGATATCTTATAATATAATTTTAACAGATTATAATAAGAGTTGAGTACTTGTACCTCACATGTAATGTTGTAATAATACTATTAGTAAGCTTACTTGCTCTAAAACATGTTTGTAGTTTAATAGAAACTTTGTATATTTCTTACATTTATATACAAGCATTATAATTACATTACAAGTAAAATATAAGTATTATTTTAGAATGTAATGCTTATGAAATAATTTAATTAGTTTACTTTTGCTATTATTAAATACATTTGTTGCGACTTTTTCGTGATGTGGGAGTCGTGTTTCTAATTCAATCCCCTGTATTCATGCTGAAAGATTTTGTATCGCAATTCTGTTGATCAGTCACTTCACACGAAATTTACAATAGAACGAGAAGGAGGATAAACTTAACGAAGGTCACAGGGTCGAGAGACTGAGCCCCGCACCGAGGATAGATTTACGTTACCACGTGTCTTATTGGATGTAATCGATTTGGGCGCTTTCTTGAGTTACGAGTCCTTTGCACGAACAGTACATAACCTAATACCCAACTCCAGCGGCAAGGTTTCCCTAATTCCAGGGGATGTTTTTCCTCAAAGAGGTTTTTTCCTCCTGGAAAAGGGTTTTAGCCCAGCTGCGCTCCGCCATGTATAGTTTTGTGTCTTTTGTTTTTTTCTTTCCTCTTTTCTTTGCAATGGAAGAGTCCTCTTGAGAACGTCAAGGCACTCGGAAGACAAGGCGTATGCAAAGTATCCGTGGGCCGTTTAATATGCATAGCTCCTGTTCAATGTCGCATATAATGTGAATATGTTGAATGACGTTGTTATCGACACCACAGCATCTGGGCATTTGATGAAACGTGACACAATGTGCATATTGCGTTCCTTCCCGAGCTATGAAACTCGGGGTCCTTAGTGGAATCTGTCAGCTGGAATTTCCCGAGAGAGTCAGTGCAGTAATCGCACGAGTGGTTCATTTCGAGAACCCGACATCGCAACCATGAACTGGCGCGAAAGTCGGATAAAACAAGTTTTCCTAGCACCGATTGGACTGCTTCTATCACTAGGTGGGGGTGGAGGTGGTGGAGCGCGCACGGCTGTGCTAGATCATGGTTCTTTCGTGGTGTGGCTGCTTCCTACGAGCTGCATACGGACGTGGCGTGTCGGTTTCATGAACGTGCCCGTAAGCAAAGTTGGTAGGAGTGCAGGTGTTGGAAGCGGAGGCGCAGATAATCATGCGGTCCGGACCGAAGAGTAAATAACCATTCCGATAGTCCGGTACGGATATGTATTTTCGCGGAGACTATAGATTATCTGCAATATGCGATCAGAGCCTAACGCTGCACCTTTCAAAAAGAACGTCTTTCATTCACGATCGGCAATGCTGAGTCAGCCTCAGCAATGTATCCGCGAAGCGGAGTTCATATGGCCTATTCTGATCGGCCATGTTAAGCAACTACTTATTCCACTAAGACGGGAGTCTATTGGAGAAAATTATACACAGTCGCTTACGTTTCTCGGCCCCTATGTCCTCGGACGAGATCTCGACCTCTCCGTAGTACAAGGCAAAGAGCTAGAAGGCCATTCTGACTCCTGACCTCATTCACCGCCGGTAATAGGATCGTTATGCTTGGGAGTTGAGCACGTAGATATCGTGTATTCTTTGAGATTAGGCGAGCTCTAGAGCCGCGATTGTGGGATACAGCACAGTGGAACGGCAATCGGGGCAAATGTATTTGCCTCGGAGCACAGCTCAGGGGTCGGGAAAGACACGGTAGTTTTGCGAGTTGTAAGATTGAAGCGATCCCTGATCGACATGGTTCGACGTCTTGCGGAGAAATGGGCAGGATCTACTTTTAGAGATTGTGGGTAGTGAAATACTATTTCGTAGGCTATCATAGCTGGATGTACGACATAGAGTCGGTCTTGAAGTTATTGCAAAGGCTAAAGATGATTTATATGAGCGATTTATCCATAGAGGACTCAGACCCCGCTCAGTTCAGTAATCGATTGACCTTGATAATATACCTCTTTCACCTCACACCACCGCCCAAGAACCTGCATGCCACAGCCCCGTCAGCATCGTAGGTTCCTGTCGAAGGATTGCGCAAAGTTAATTTCCTTCTGCACTCGATAAGGCTGACTTCAGGGGTCAGTTCTGTACTTCCTCCGCATTATATGATAGACGCTTTCGGTGCCTGGGCATAAGGCTTCTAAGGGTCAATAGTTGAAGACAGCGTAGTATATATCTCCTCCTTTGAAGTCGAATTATCTGGAAACAGAGGCGAGCAAGCAAGCGGCATCACGAGGTATTATTTCAAGCGATGATGCAACGTCTTCAAACAGAGAAAAAAAATAGGTGGATCTTCTTCACCGAAGATCTAAACGCGACATGTTGTGTCATTACCCATCAGAAAGAAAGATGATACGATGTTCTCAACTTGAATCAGGAGGCCCTCTCACCTCGATGCCGGAACCTAGGGAACCAGTTGTTCATCACAATGGATGTAAAAGTTGGACGTACATCGTTTTGCAGACCGACGACAGGCATGCAATCAGTGGACATCAAGTCAGGTCGCACCTTGAGACAATCAGCATACTTAACGTCGGCTGCATCCTTGGATGACATGCTGTGTATCATCAGGGACTCGGACAGCAAAGTCCGTGTCCGTGGGGTCTGTTTGGGACCTTGGTCCTTGTTCTTTGTGTTATGTAATACGGCGGATGACATAAAGCCTCTCCCAAACTCAGGTTAGCACTTAGGTCCTTCTTTGATTCCACACTCGCTGGGCCTGGGGCCGCAAGGGACTCGTTGAAAATGCGAAGACGGTTCGGCATCATCTTCGAAACGTGCCCCCTGGAAGTCTGTACGTAGCATCGGATCATTACACTTCTTCAAACCTTCTTTCGAGCCGGTTTATTCTTCAGAAAAAAATGAATTCCCTTCCAATACGCTCAGGCTTCAGTTCTATACTTATCAGCTAAGTTATAAAAGCATGTGTATGGACCACACCATCCACAAGTACGTCTTCCTCTGCACTGAAGCATCCGAGTTTATCCTCTTCCTGTCCGATGGCTGCGCAATCTGTCTCAAGTGCCTCAGGCTCTCCTCATCATAGCTCTACCGCAAGCTCCGTTGATTCCGTAAAGTCCAAGCGCGCACGCACAAAGCATGCATGCGATGAATGCAGAAGATCTCAGAAAAAGGTTCGATTTGTTGTTCTTTCATGCAGATGTTAAAATTGACTTGATGCCTGTTCGACTTAGTGCGATGGCGACAAGCCGCTCTGCCGACGCTGCTATCTTAATGGGACGCGTTGCACATATACCCCGCATAAAAGCAGGAGTCAGTGTGCTTGCATCGGTCAAAGTGAAGAAACCCATCCAGAAACTTTTACCCCAGACGTGTACATTTTTCCGGATTGTAAGTCTCCACAGATATGATGTTCAATTTCCTTCTCATTATTGTCTGCAGCATCTTTGGGCTCATTTCACACCTGGTCGGCTACGAGCTCACCGGATCAGTCGCCGAGCGCATCAGGATCTGTGCTTGAGACTTCGTCACCCACGAATCTAGGCCAAGATAATCGGTTCGGGACAGCACAGAACGCGGTTATTGAACACAAAGCGACGGCATATGGATCACCAAAGAACATGACCTCATCGAATTCGATACGGCGTGGCCGACATCTATACAGTCATCGTTCCTATTCGCTCCCGAGCTTTTTGAATACGAGCTCCATTTACTCATCTCCCCACGCGACGGAATTCTCGACATACCCGTTATCCGCGTCGCTCCCACATGACCTCGCAAGGCAAATGCCGGGTATGCAGGAGATCGGAGTGATGAGTTCAGCTCACTCTGCGCTACAAGTCGAACAGGACATTGATTTAGTCGCGTTGTCCACATACGACCAATTCCGACTCCGGCACACTCAATTCACACAGGGAAGTGCTGCCCCCACATGCACTTACAGCGCATCATCTCTCCACGACCAAGAAACCTCGGCACGTCTTGACCAAGGACAACTTCGACTCCTCAACGCTGAGGGATCGATTCAACTGAGAGAGCAGCAGCTTTACGAGATGCAGCAGTATGCCGTAGATCAATGCTCTCAGAATTCTTTCACCGCGAACCCGGTTTCTTTCCCAGCCGATTACGCATCAAGTCTTGACCAACCCGCCCACGAATATTCATCCTGGCCCGAGCAAGTGCATACCCGTAATGTTGCTCCAGTACCTTCGCACACACGAACATCACACGAAGTGCCGAGCGCGCCGCAACATATTGAATACGATGACATCGGTAATGCAGGCCACTTTATCTTCGGGCAGCCGTCGGCCACTCCCGGCCACTTCGTCAGTTCTACTCAGCTAAATGGGCATGATCTGACAGATCTTCCTTCACCTGCTGTTGACCGCCGAACCAACGGGACGATGCTACTCCATCTTCCATCTCCACGCTTCTCCCATGTTCATTGGACGAATGAGCCTGTGTCTCCACCTCTCAGCGGAAGCTATCCGTGCTCGGTCAATCCTAGCCCATCTGCTTACGGCACGAGCGATTTTTATGACTGGTCAAATTGATTCAGGCCCTCATTGTCGCATCCCACTACAAATCCCGCTTTCATTTGCGCCACTGGTGATCGAAGCGGCACCGACTCAGAGTGGGTCCATCCTGACAGCTGATGAAACATGACCTTGAGCACGCTCATGCCGAAAAGCAGTGCTGAAACAGCAGAAGTGGCGTAAGAGCTTTTCCTGTAGCAATATGGACCTTTTATAAGGACATGCCTTTCGTACGCTGAGCTGGAGAACTTGACGTTTGTCTAACTGTTTTCTCGTTGTATGTATTCCTAAATCGGTAATCGAAGATCCTTCTTCCTAAAATGGGTGCTATGTAAGCAAATGACGTGTTCAAATATGTTGCGTCGACTTTCCGGGGGGGTTGTACCGCTACTGTCATTCGCTTTTTCACTATGTACCCACCAGCTGCCTGCGTCGCTTTGAGAAGCTCAGGTCACACCATGACTGTTCTCATAAGAAGTAAACATGCACAGTTTTGGCGGTCTGCACACAACACTTGGTGCCAGTCTTCCAAGCAGTCAAGATATTCTACAAGGAGCTCTCATGCATTCAAACTTGCCTTGATTCTCCTTGGGAGCAGTTGACCCGAAGAAATTTCCATTCTTCCATACTATCTGCTCCTGATTAGAACCTCTCCCTGCTGCAAGTTTTTTTGGGCCCATGAAACAAGTGAATGGGTTGGGTTGTACCAGACGTCCAACTGCAACGTATCTCCCTGCCTCATAGCCTGGCACGTAGCCAGATTCACCGTCAGGAAGCGCCTCGCTTAGGCGCTTGCTAATATGGCTTCAGCACTATTTAGCAAGACTCTCTGTTTGTTCGTCTGTGTATTGTTAATCCAGCGGGCGCCGTTTTCCATATGTGTCTTCAGAGGCTATTGCCTCAGGAAGTGCTACTAGCATCCGCTATATATATAAGTTGCAAATGTATAAAAGGCACCACTTTTCTCTGGCCCATGCACATGAAAACCTTAGAGCTCAAGAATTTTTTGTATCATGGGAACCAGCAGACCTGCATTATCCTTGCACAGCTTCCCACCAAAGGCACATTTGAAATCATATCCCAAACAAAGGTGTTTGATATTGCCTCAACACACTTTCCGTGCGTTTTCACAACGTCAATATCAAACTTCGACTCACATAATTTCTCTTCAAGCAAGTGACCGCACAACATCGCCAAACTGTCACTGTCTCCAAGCCACTGATGAATCGGGTTGGTATGCAGTGTTTTTCGTAGGTGTTATCTGGCTTGTCTCGTTATTGGTAGCTGATAGCCAGGTAGGCTGTAATTGCCATTTCGGGTCCTACTTTGTTCTCTATAACGTTGGACAGCTCAACAATAAAGTCGAGCAGAACAGGAGTGGTATCCGTGATGCTGTTCATTGCATTGGAGACATCTATTCTCGGCTTGCGTGTCGCTCATGAAAGAGAGATGGTGTCGAAAGACTCAGGGGATTTAGAGCACGCGCATCGTCGATCCCGTCCGTGTTGTACAGCAGTGGCTCGTCCACAACTTCAAGTATGGTATTCATCCTGTTACCACTCATCATATATTGAGCTGACACCTTATTAAAGATTTCAAAGTGGCTCCCAGGTCCAATCCTCCTTGGACACATAGCCATTCTGTTTCTATTAGGGAGTGTGCTGCTGTCCATGCTCATGATGCTCAGTACTTCTGTTGCTATCGTTACTGCATCCGTCTCCATCGTCTTATTCCCTGTCTATTTTGCTCTGAAGATTGTGGGTTCAAGAGGTTACAGCAGACAAAATGCACAAAGAAGCTAGGCGGGAATTACCAATCGAGTGGCCTGCATGCTCGTTCTTTTCGGATATACATAGCAAAAGATCTCACCTCTCTTCCGATGTACTTGAATTTATTGTTTGTCTAGCTGACATGTCTGTAACGTTATAAACGCCATTTTTTCGTTCCTGCAATTGTTTTTGACAAACTGAATTACAGCTAACAGCCGATACCCATTCTATTGGGAACGTCTCAAACACATCCTTTACCATCATTCGTCGTGGGCTCGCTATAACGAGCATATGGATATTGTATATGGCCATTCTTACCTGTTGCTGATTTAGTTCTGAACATCTCATGCGTGTTGTCAGTTAAAATGGAAATCAACTACATTAGGTTATTGTTAGGCTTCATCGAAGCTAATTCTACCATTGCAAGACAGTCGACCAACTTGATCGTTAACCGTTTTACAAGGACATTAATAGTAATGGTTCATTTCTATCGAAAGTCAGCCTACAATCATATCTTTCTGCATTCTGTCTTTGGTTGTAGAATTGTTGTTTCGGTTTTGTGCCTTAACTGCACGGTTATAAATGATAACTACGAAAACGAGGACCCGAGCGCCGCCTCGCATCTAATCTCTGTCCATATTCCGCCGTAGGGACAGAGCTCTCAGCGTTATCGGAGCTCCTGAGCTGCAATGGGAACACAAAAATCGGACGTGCAGCATGTGGCTTCTGGTAAACGGCGGAATATGGCTTGTCATAATTGTCGGCAAGATAAGGTGAAAGTGAGTGTCTTTGTTCAGAAAGGATTACTTATCAGCTTTCATATTATAAGATTTATATGTCTTTGTAGTGTGTATTCGATGGATCCACAAAAATATGTACTCGATGCTCCCAAAAGAGGCGAACGTGTACTGGACCTATCCCTACAGACCGGAGTAGGTATAGGAAAGCGAGGAAAGAGGGGAAGTCGAAGGCGAACGGTTATGAAATCGACCCGTTCGACATATGGAGTGGAACATCCGACATGAAGCTAGAGAAGTCCTTTGCCAAGGCTGCTGAATATTGTTCAATACCTCCGATAAACACGCAAGATATGCTTCAGTCCCCCGGAGTACTTGTGAGGAGCCACATGAATTCCTTTCATTGCTTCCTTTGGTCTAAATCTCATGGTGGCGGAAGTCACCAAATTCGCACCTTCCTTCCGATAGAGTCGCATATGGCGAAGCCTTTGCAATATGCGACAATGCGTCATACTCCCATCCTGAACCGTGGAACTCATCCAGACGACACGAGTCTTCGTGGACATGGAACGCTGATGGAGCGCTGAGCTACGAAAATCGTCCAGACGTGCGTGGTTCCTACCATCATATTGCTCAAAGCTCGTCAGATCCGAGAGTGCGGGGTAACACGTATGGGATCTAATTATCCAGCTAAACGTATTACTGATCCTATCAATACAGACACGCTTCTTCGATTGGAGATAGAGTTCGTACCTCCTACGGCTGCTCACCATTTCTCGGTTCAAATCATGGGATTTTTCACCATGGCGCACCACCAACGAGCCAAATCCTCCGAGACGTACCTTCGCCACGCGACTCCTTCGCACCTGAGTCCAGTTCGTATGGGTCCATCTCGGGAGCGCTGCAATTCAACTCAAATAGGTTTTGATGACACCTTGTAAATCTTTATTACCCCCGTGTATTGATCGCCGTTGTTGTATTGTAGTGAATGAAGTTCGAGTACGGCCTATAATATGTGTATTGACTGCGTTCCCCTTGCCCCGCCGAACACTTGGCTGGCACGACTCTTCTCAAATACACAAGCGTAAGAAGCGTTCGTCCTGAACAACGTCTTCTCGTGAGTACGATGGAAGTATGTGCCTGATCACTTTTGCTGTAAGTGCGATCAATGCTTTGTGGCGGATGAAAGTGCGACGCGTCCAGAACTCGGACGCGCCCTAAAGGAACTCCGATCTCATCGGAGCTCTCTGAGTTTGAAATCTTCAAAGTTCGGTGCCTAAGGGCGAATCAGTATCAATATCCCGTCCAATGCGTCCTGTTATTTATGTGCAATTAATACTACATTTGGAGTGGAGAAATTGATTTATTACACGAGAAGCATGATTCGGGTTGAAAGAGAGTGAAAACAAAAAGCAAAGCAAAGCACAACAATGAAGATACTACAAACATTTATCTGTGCAAGAAATAAAATGGCTTCGTCGTGTAAAGAAATACGAATATAGAAAACATAGTCCTCAGATTGTGATAAATTCTCCGCAGTGAGATTGATGTAAATTGAAGTCCATGGCTTCGTGGGTATAAGCATCCATTCCTTGCTGTGTGTCACCGGAGTTACTATCGTGGCCTGTGTTAAGGTAGTCCAAACCTGCGTGGCCAAAGACCATTTTCTGACGACTATACAATCAAATGCGATGGTCAGCAGATGGTCATCAAAAACGCAAACTTCTATACTTACTTTTGGAGTGCGTCAGCATATACTTGGTCAGACACGCAGCCGGTGTCCATATGAGCAGACAAGACGCTGAACGTTTGGGAAATGACATCTGGACCGGATAAGAAAGGTCCCTGAGGACCAAAGTAAGGTTGTTCGCCATCGCATTGGCTCGAGGGTGATTGGGATGTGGGCGATGGAGCAATGTGCAGAGAACAATGATATTCCTCGAGGGGTTCAACAGGTGTTCGCCACTGCTCGAAATTATCCAGTATTTGGTCGATTTCGCAAGAGTCATCGGACGAGCCGGAGTCCGAAGGAGCTCCCGAAGAAAGCTGCACATCTGCAAGCATTCTACCGTCGAAGTCGTTCGTATACGAGCTGCAATTCATCAGTTCGTTGTGATACATTGGTTGCACACCATAGGAAAACGGTAGAGGCGGAGGATGATCAAATGATTCCTGATAAGCACTATGAGAAGTGCTTCCATCAGGTGATGTAGATGTGAGAAGGTGCATTTGATAGTCGCCCGCCTGGCACAACATACGTGATGGAATGTCGACGTGCAACTCTGGAACGGCTACCGCAACATCCGAGTTTCCATATTGGACTGGACTGTATAAAGGCTCATTGAAGCCAATCGGATAGGTTTGCTGAAGAGAGGATTCGCTAGTGTTGAGTGTTTCCTCATGACATTGAACTTCTGTCATGGCAGTATCCGTTTGTACGAGTGAAGCACTATCCGGAGTGCTTTGAGAAGTTTCTATGCTCTGAGGAAAACAAAGAATGACCGGTACTTGTCAATTTAATGCTCCAAGAGCGCTAATAAGAAAGCTTACATCTGTTGTACTCATGACACTTAGATATTCGTCAGGAACACCTCTCACGTGTGCGCGAGCGTCGCCCTTAGTGGCCTTCTTTTGGTCATTCGTCTCTATGCGTTTCGGATCTGTGAACGGACGGTACTACATGATAGGAGTATAAGTGATTGAGCATTAGGTCGGAGAAAGCATGGCATACAGTCTGGCCTGTCTCTCGGTAAAATTGAATCTCTTGTATAGTTTCACCATCTTTCCTAGATCCTGAAGCCTGATAAGAGTAAAGAAGTAAGTGAATGAAACAAAGCATATGGATCGCCAAAGATGCAAATCACGGCTAGTTCGTGGGCGCTAACTTAGGCGCCTATTGACGTGTACGGCTCCTTGGCAGACAAAAACATCCGGTAGAAGAAATATAGATCACATACCCGGGAGGTTTTCCTAGGTGCTTTCGACATTGACAAACAGTATGAATACTTCAAAGTCCTGTAGGAAAGGTTAGTAGTGCAGGGTAAGTGAAGGTGGCAGTGGCAATCCTGGAGAGGGTAATAGCTAACTAGACGTTTGCGACAGGAGAGTCGAGTTGGGCTATGGATGGCGACTTCTCAGAATGGGCTTTCTTAAATGCTCCTGGTCTTGCAGCGGGCGATTACCATGTATGCTTGTTTATAGATACTATTCGGCGAAGAAGTAAACCAACGGCGGACTCGTGTCGGCGAACATTTGAAAAACAAGGAACGAAGTGAATACAGGAAGCGAAGGTTCATGTCGACATTGTGCAAGATAGAAAGCAATATAGGATATAGTCCTATCTAGGCAGTGTAAGGCGATACGTGCTAGGAATAAGGCTCAATGTAGGGTAGAAACAGACGTGGACGCGTTCCAAATGAGTAATCGCCAGCCCGACACGCGTTCGCGCAGGGCCCACATGATTATCTCCCGAGTGTTATTACTAATGATCATCCAGCCAGGCTTTTGCTACACTGGGCATGTTGGCTAATATGGCAGTGTGTAGTCTGCTTCCATGTATCCTGACAGTTTTCGGATGATCCGAACGATTTTCTCAAATTAATAGACACCACAGCTGCTGCTGGACCCTGGCGAGAATGCACTGGCTCATCGCATACTCTCTAGCTGCCTGGGAAAGACTTAGTAAGCTACCCAAAATAGATTACAGTCAGATCGCAAGTGTGAGTAACTCGCCGAGTTATCTGATCTTCTTTCTTTCTCGGCGGGAAATTTGTGGAGAAGGAAGGCAACGCAAGTGAATTTAGACAAAGTAACATCGTTCACTCCCTTGGCATCCGATGGATATGGAAGCGCGTCGCTTCACTATGTCCTTGACAGGTAGAAAGCCACAAAAAGAACACTAACTAAATCGTTCAGAAGGGCCCCTGCAGGCTGCGGGAGCTCCTTACTATATGCATGCTAAAATGTGTCAGTGGCACGATGTCTCCGTTTCTCCGTTTCTGCCGCAAAGTACACTCAAAGCAATTCCTGAATATTACAGTGTACAATGTAGAAGACATAAGCAGTTATGATGGCCATCACGAGAGATTTTGCATATTGGATTGTGTAAAGGCATATGCATGCACATTGGTAACCATAGCAAAATACATTACTTAAATGAAGCTTACCAGTGTACACACTTCAAATTGTCTTTCTGTATTCACTTAGCTTGGAATGTAAATGAAAGAGTACAGTATCACTGGCCTGAATCACTGTGTATTAGCATCCTGCTGGGAACTCAGTCATTCTGGAGGCCTGAGATGTATGGGTGGTCATACCTCTGTGTAGAACTCGGTGATCCCGGCAGCTTGAAATTTATTACGTCGACACTGAAGAAGATGGTCGTATGACTAGTGATACACAAGGTCGGGTCAGGTCGGGTCAGGAGGGTTTTTAGTCTGACCCATGACCTGACCCAGGTCAGAATTTTCCAAAAATCCTGACCTGTGACCTGACCTTGTCTGACCCAGCTGGGTCAGGTCAAAGTGGGTCAGGTCAGGTCAGGTCAGGGGTCAACCTGGGTCAATGTGTACTTATACTAGTCTCTTGCTACAGATTTTCTTATGCAGCCCTTGTTGTAGACAGAGACTATTACTATCTGAGTTAATAGGTTTGTTAATAAGCTCAGTTATTGTAGGATAAAACTCTGTCTGTTAAAGTAATCCAAATTTACACTTGAAACACTTACAGTTAATCATTAAGGTACAGTTATGGAATGTATACTTGAGTAGTCAACAATTGTTATGCTTGCATTACAAACTGTGTTTGATACAGATGAAGGAGGAAAGTAGCCATGCTTTGTTTGAGCTGAAGATAAGAACAGATTATACATACTACATAGTGTGTAATATCAATCTTAAGTCTGTCCAGACAGACAAACCTTGTACATTTTCCAAACAATTGGATACATACTACTCCTGGGTAGAGTGGCTGAGAAGCTAAGACCACTCGTCTGTGTCCCAGTCGGTAGATGCATTCTCGCTGTCGTTCACATAAACCATACGTTCCTTGTC